ACTGATATTTAATGTAATGAAATGTCATAGTGTAAATATTAAATATTATTATATTATATAAATATACCTATTTACTGTAATGAAAAACATGGTCCGAAATTAGTAAATATTGTATCATTATATACTTTAAAAAATATTATAAAAGACTGCAAGGAAATATGTCAGAACATTTACATTGGATATCTTTTAGTCTTAAAATTGGATTCTTTTTATTTTCTCCCATATTTCTCACATTAAACATAATTAAGTTTAACAGGAAAAAAAGTGATAGTTTAGAAAGATTAGTGTTTCAGATAGTCTAAATAGAATGCTTGTGATCTAATTTGCTTATAATTCCTGTTTCTATGTTCTAGGTTTTGTATTGATTCTGAAAATAGAATTGGAAATAGCGGCGTAGAAGAAATAAAAGGCCATCCTTTTTTTGAAGGTGTAGACTGGGGGCACATCAGGTAAGGTTGTAGGATTTGTACAGAAGAGTTCTGAGTGATAACAAATGTCTAGATTTAATGATTAATTTGCCTCAGATCCTGCCAGAATAAATATAACAACACTAAAGCTGGTGTTTTCTGCAAGTGGGGTTATAATAGCTACAGCTGTGTGATTCATATGACACTAATGTCCACTTAAGGGACAACAGGACCACACATATTCTGTGATTGCTTAGATGTTTTTTATTCAGAATTATAAAAAAAGCTCCTAGGATAGAAAAGCTGTATGTATCTTGCGCAATAAGACGCCTTGGTAGCACAATGATTAAACAAACTGTCGGCAACTGACTGAAAGATAGGCATTTTGAAGAAATGAGGACTAACGTTGAGAAGGATCAGAATTATGCTCATACAAAATGTATACTTAGACCAAGAACCTGTTGCCCAAACAAAGCAAGGGAACACTGTGGTTTTGATTAAGAAAAGATGTGCATGAGGGTTCCTTTCTCCATACTTCCTCTGCTTGAACGCTGAGCAAATCATCTGAGAAGCTGGACTCTATAAAGAATGTGGCAGTCAGGATAGGAAGAAGACTCTTAACGTATATGTAAATGTTTCTAATAATGAACCTTCTGGTCTGACAGACTTCTGCTTTGCAGGCATATTCCACAGTTGGCACACCAGACTACAT